CTATGGAGCACATTTTTAATTTGTATATCATTTTCCTATCTAATCTATATTTTGTCAGTCGTAACCAAACGTCTCAGAAATGACTCGATTTCGCGGTAGTTCTGTATAGTTTTTCAGGTGGAAATACGATCAGATAATTTCGTCGCGTTAATTCGTGTGACAACTCACAAACATCGACCGTTTCTTGTAGCCAGCTTTCTTCAAGTGCCTTAAAACGGTTTGGACTAAAACAGTTAGTTCATTGGAAATACGATGATTACATGTGTCAATCTTACTTAACTTTTAAAATAGGTTCATCAACTTTTCCGGAATTGGTCGACCAATGAGAAAAACACCTCTGCATGAAAAACTTCTCGGAAAAAGAAACGACAAAACCGGCCTTGGACAGGCTTTTCTTCACTGACCCTCTTAACCACAGAAGCACAATTTTCTCATAGGCCTGGCTACTATGTGTACCCTTTATTCCAAAACCGCTATAATGTATAGGGGTTTTTAAAGAAATTTCACCTATTTCTATTTTTAGTCTGAATAAAGAAATTTCGATCATTTTCTCACAGCTACTACTGTCAGATCTGGTACCGACCCGACGAGACTGATTGTACCAAAGATATTCAAGTTTGATCTAGGTAGACACACGGTTGATACTTTTTCGGTAACTTAATAGATCTGTATACCAACAATGCTATTTTTTGCCTCACAAAACCCTGCGAAAAAGGCTTGATCGACAACAAAATGCCATGAGTCAAACTTAGAGTGTGCTGTATATATACATACAAAATACTGGCTGTGACATAAATGATCACGGACAACCAATATTTACTACTGATTCATATATGTCTACAGGGGCATTGTAGTACATTTCCTTTATATATATATATATATATAGATAGATATGCCTTGTACCGTGTGCTGAACTGCAGAGAACTGTCATCACTAAGCCCACGGCGCCTTCATCATTGGTTAGTTCAATCAAAATTGCAAAGCCCTTATGCAGTTGCATTGCTTCCTCAAACTATTATTTATCTATAAAATTTCGACAATATTATCGAATACGGTTATTATAGTAATATAGACATATGCACATGAACAAACTATGCCGTAGTTCCTAAGGATGAAACATTCTCAGGAGTTATGTACATTAACGCAAGAGAGGTCAAATATGATAGTCTGTGATGACTTGCGAGTCAGAACTCCTTCCCAATTGAAGTCTATATCTTCGAGTTAGATTTTTCTCTGCGAGATCACGAACACTTAAAAGCTAAAATCAAAGCCGCCCGTCTCTATGCTTCGGTTACACTATGGTAGTACACAAGTATATATTAAAACGTGCTAAACAAGACCACTTTGTTCGCTTTTAAATCATATAAATGTTACTATTATTTCTAGTCACATTCAACGATATAACTTAATAATTAGGAATGCGCGAAACTCATACTGAATAATGCACACAACAGGAAGGCACACAAGTCTTCAACTTCGAAACAAAACGCGATCGCACCGTGCTGACTCAACAAAGGATAACGATCCAAATTTCGACCGACTGTTAGTACTGAAGGGCGAGATGCGCACTTTTGTACAGCGACGACTTTCCATGTATAACTAATGTATTCAGCAGAGACGCTACCTTTGGCGGAATCGTCACGTCTATTTACAAGGTCCTGCTTGTAGCTTAACCCAGCTTATAGTCCCAATGTAAACTGAGCGCAAGGACAATTCTTACTGGTTGAGTTGAAAGGTGTTGGGTTTGTTTTAGCAATGTCTTCAGGTTTTCAGATTGCCTACTGTTTAAGCGTCCTTTCACGTCTGCTGTTTGTCCGTATATCGGTTACTTAAGCGTCGATTTTGCCCGGCTTTAGAGTTCGGGAGCAATATCGATTTTCTGTGATTAATGCGTTCGATGCACGTAAGCCTCGTCGTAAGCGGTAGCCAAAGAACTATCAGTCGAATCATCTGAGGGAAGCGATTCATTTCGTCGTCGTTCCGTCTAGCCGAAAACAGCGGATAAATTCGTAACACATACGTATTGCCTGGGCTGTACACTTTTGTGTACACTCAGTGAATCGGCCACTGCGATGTTAGTCAACTCTGCACCAGAAAAATTAAGATAAAAATTAAAGATGTACGCGTCATAGGTTCACGTTAACATCTGCCAGGAACCTACTGATTTGCTAGAAACTAGTATTTCCTTCCCTCCTTTTTCCTGACCGTCGGCGCCGTTACGTAGAATATCACAGTCTAAAGGTATGGCATGTACCCAACGTGCGTACGTACCTTCGACGTACACATCAAAGGTAAGGTAACTTCGTCGACGCAACATTTCGCCTAAGTAACTAGCTACGTAAGTTAGGCACATTTATATTCATAAATGAGACTTCGATACGAAGACTTGGCATAAACGGAGACAGATAATCTATTTAAATTACGTTTCAGTATATTTGAATAATAAGTGTACGGTGATCACGTATTTGTTATTACCGTCTGTCGACTTAATTAGACTGCTCTGAAAGTTAACGCCGCAGCCTTCCAGTTAATGATGATTCTACCATCGAAGATGTTCAGGTAGACATACAAAAACTGCTCACATTTTGGCCTTTCACTCGGACACAAAATTTTGTATCGATGAAAAGTCTACAACACACTTCTTAGTACTGACGGTTCACAAAAAAAAATTACATATGGTACGGCATCTAAATTGGGACAGACTTTGCGGGCTGTTTGTTATGGTGTAACATGTGTTTATCTGCTATTCTTACTAAAAGATGAAAGTTAGTTATCCCTACAACAAAGCAACAATTTAATTATTGATTAACAACAGTATATCGTTGTCGTACAAAGGCCAGCGTTTATCCAATTTTTACAAGCTGAATGAAACCCCATCCAGATCATGAACTCATTTAGCTCTCCTTAAACCTATACTGTACCACATCGTAAAGGAGGGCAATACATTAAAGAATCCTCAAAAGAGAAAAACTATTGAGAAGGCCAAAGGTCATCCCCACCGTTTAAAAATATATCTTTTTCGGTCCCTCTATTTGAATAAAAAGAAGCTTGATTTGAATGAGCGAGCGACGATAGCACGGATTGTTCACAAAGGCCTCATACATCCCTCATATGTCACGGTCCAGTTCATCGAATGCCCTCCAAGGACAATAAAATCAATAAATTTCACCGGTGTTGTTTGTTGTTTAATTCTTTGAAACATAAGGTTGCGGGTCGTCTTCAACCTTTCTCAAACGAAAATGTTTTTCTCCGGTGCAAATATGAACCTGGAAAATGATCGCTGGCTTGCTCACGACCAGAGAATTAGCCTGTTGTGCCAAGAGGCAAAAGTTTTTGCCTTTTGGAAAAAAGGAGACCTTAGGCCTTATACATACTTGGGTATATGGAAAAAAATTCATTGAAATATCTGTTTCAATTTGCGTGTACTCTTGAAAACAAAGCATCAGCAAAAATCCAAAATCAGGTTGCGTACGTTACATACATTTCTCAGACTGAGCAGATCGCATGAGATAATTTCGTGTTAAAATGGTTATTTTTCCTTGTATGTGGACTGACTGTCGTCTGTTTTGATGGCTGAAAACCTTTTATACTTTGTTTTGCGCCATTATGTTGTTGTACGTAATATACCAATAAATTGTCATATGTCTTTCCTAAAGGGAAGCTTTGTCCTAATCTACGTATAGCAAAACTCCTCTCTTATCTATAGCCTGCATGTTCTTCGCTTTTCGTTCCCCCGTTTAGATGCATAGCCAATACTTAACCAGCTATGCTACCAAAGGATTATAAACTCCCGAAAACCACAATCGAGTCACGGGAACGCAGCAACTGGCAATACGAATCGCACGTTATCTTATTGTGTGCGTCTGTGTCAATTATTCGTTCGAGCTTAATGTTGTAAAAATAACACTAGGTTGAGTCTATATATATATATATATATATATATATATATGGAACGAACATTTACGCGATATATAACGAAGTAAGTAAAATCTTTATTTAGAGCCTAGTAACTTTGTATAGAAATTAACTTGGAAATTCAAAATTCACCGTCGCACAACGCACACCTACGGGGTGTCCACGTTCTATGGAATCATATCGGCCTCTATTTTTACGAATGGCTATTCAGAACGAGCGTTCTTGTGGTGGGCAAAAAGGACTAAAGAGGCGAACCTATTATGTATATACAATTTTAGCCGATCGCACATACGTGTGAAGTAGCTCAACGTGCGGCCGTTGTGATATTGACGTGCATGCATACATATATGTGCAATGTGTTAACAATTTACGCTGTATTTCCAAAGAGTTTGGAGAACCTGCTAAAAACCTTTTCCTTCCTTTGTTAATCAAAGTGACACAAATCAGTGTTATTTTTTTCCCTCTGATACCACCCTTTTGTTCGATGGCTGCCAAAGAAATTACAGCGTTGTGTTACGTTGAAGCAAACGCTGATCTCTAAGTAACTCACCGCCACATGGTACATCTATCGGCCCAATCAGATCTAAATATGGACTATGTCTCAAGCAATATGACTCCGTTAGACCGCGTTGCTCGTGCTCGTGCGGCGACTCGTGAGTCGTTCTGTGCCTGAGCCGAGTCCTTATTGCACGCGTTCGCTCAGCAGAGAAGCGCTACCTCACGGTGTAATTGGAACATGTCTCTTCCTTCTCAAAAGCACTAGTCCATACGTCGCTCGATACACACACCGGGCGCCTTCTCCATGGTTCTATTTCTTATGCAACTACTTTTGCAACTCACAAACCCACTTACTGTCAACCTTAATTCCAACATTGAACGTTAGTTACCTACACGCGCATATAGGCGACTCGACATTGTATTCAGTGCGCGATTTCACCTCACCTATCAACTCCTCTCGCTCCGTCGTCCTCTTTCTCGTACCTATTACTCTATTCATGCAGCAAGGCATAGCAGTGAGGTAGGCATACTGGGTTTGGAGTGAAAAAAGCTGGTCTATTGTGAATCGATTGTCTTCGCGTACTTACGGGTTACATTGGCGAACCTGCACACACCGACACAGAGACACAGAAATATATTGCGCGCACACCGCTGCTTATGACCCAGTTTCTCGTCACGTGATTCACTGTTCATAAAGGTTGATAACCGGCTGGGTTTACGCTAGTTTAGTTGGAGCGTCCTTTGTTCTTTTTTTGAAGTAAATGGCTTGTCGAGTTTTCTGGGTCGAATAGATTATTCCGTTTATGTACGCGTTTTTTTCTTCAGACTCGTTATCTTGTTGTGTGCTATTTCTCGTAGATGCCGACTTCTCTGTATGTATAGATGTATGTATATAAAGTAAGTCAATAACGACTATATGTGCCTACTTGATGATTCTGGCTTAACTGGTTCGACGTTTTTAGATGACGGGTTAAGCTGAATAGAAGCTGGATATACTGTGGATATTCTTTCTAGATGCCTTGTCTACTACTTTTTTCTCGCCGGTCTAGAACATAAAAACGGAGCTTAAGCTTTCGATTCATAAATCCTTCGCTTAGGCGTACAAAAGAACGACGACTATGTCACACACGCAGTACCTTAAAAAGAAGCTCTCAACTTACGTCGCATCTTGTGCTTATAAGCTCTTCTGGCACACGGCCTTCGCGGTCTATTTGGCTGCGCACCGGCTTTTGTTTTTATTTCCTCTTCTTTCGCATCTGGAATGATGAGGTAGATCTCGCATGCTTCGTATGCATGCCTCTCTTGCAAAAGGGCAAGTTGTCACATGGCGCGGTATGAGATAGTTCGACCTAGGCTGAACCCCCTATGAGTAACCTACTCCGGTAGTCCCTCTATTCGTACGGATGCAACAAAAGCCTGCTTCTGTATTTTGATTTATATCGATAGAGAAGTTGAGGGTTATACGGGAACGACGAGTTTAAGATTTACAGGTTAAGCTAGCTACTAAATTTTTGGTTGGCCAACAAGTCCGGGGTTTCGCTCGCTATATTCGCTTTTGAACGAAAAACATTACTTTGAACTTTAAAAACTGTGGTAAAGTCCGCGTGTCTTTTTTAGTGTTTTAACTTGCGTCATAACTACAGTTACTCGAGAAATTGTAGTTATGCTATGCGATAACACCGAAATATATAACAACTAGCTTCTCTGGTCAACTTGTTTGACAACTCCACCCCTAAAGCTATGAGAGTCGTTATAGGTTGTCTGCTGCTATCGCCTATTTCCTTGTCATAGGATTGTATTTCATCACAGAAGAATGCAGGAACATGGGAGTGCCGTAGTCCCATCGGCTCTTTTGCCATAGTTCTGAGTTCCTTTGGGTCAACCCGTTTGTTGCAAACGACCAGCCTTCTTCGCCGATATCCAACAACCCAGCTTAACGGGGTCGAGTCCATCCGCGGCCAAACAGTCTATTGTTTCCTTAATTACTACTGCTATGCCTGAAGCTATTTTACTAGCCCGGGAGCGAGACGAGTCAATGCGATTATAAATGGGCGTCTCTTTGGGAAAATGAGCCGACTCAACGCCTATTAGATATCTACCATAAGGTTACGATTCGACTATTAAAACGACACATCACACCGTCGCTCCATCAGAGCATTTGAGGTTTTTAAGCAATACGAATACGGCTCCTGTTCCTTGTGCACAGTGTAAACCACGAATGGGGCCAAGCCATTTGAATGATGCATAGAGTCATTGATAGAAAGATTTACATAGATAGTCATTCACACAATTACTAGAAGCACTTTTCTATGACAGTCCCAGCTGCAACGTTACCAGTCAACAGTCACTTCCATAACGTGCTACTTACGTAATCCAGCTGTGAGGTATGGACACGCCTAGACGTATAGCTTGTTGTTGTTGTTGCAGTATGTTTTTCATCTTCTTTCACAAAAGTGTGCATTTAGTCAACAGCACTGGAGAGATAACGCATACCGCTTCTTGGCCTGTTTTACTATTTCGGATTTTTTTCTAATTATGTTTGTTTATTCCTAGATAGATGAACACAAAAGGAACTGTAGTTCGTTGCCGCTTCGCCTCTGCCATGTACAATCTATCCTGTACGTTGCTATCGCCGGTACTGTTGCTTTTCTTAGTTACGTATACTCACTCGTCCGACACAATCAGTTAACTAAACGATAAAATAACCCTTTCCTTGATGTTTTGGGGAACAGAAGTTGAGCGACAACACGCGTTGTTATTCGAGCGGAACCAGTGGTACGGCTTAAACTTCAACTTTAAGTATCAGATAGTTACTTGATGGCGTATCTCGTTACGGCGTTGAATCAGCGTATGCCGATGATTCTGTTATCCTTATAGCCGCTGAATTACGTTGCAAACGCTGATAAATATCGTTCAAGTATGGGGCGAAAACGGAAAGCGGTCCAGTTAATGAGTCCTGTTTTTTTGCTGAGAAGCGGTATAACTGCCATTAAAAAAAGATGGCGCTTTTATTGCCTATTATCTATTATAACGAAAACTGTTATCTATTTACCTGCTTCAGTGTTTCCTTTTGTTGTAGTTGTTAACATCAGTGACACAACCACAATCAGTGAACAGTCGATCGTGTTAATGAGCGAACAGTTGCTGTCGTTTAGTCAATCGTGAACCTCACTCAATTTATTTCAGTGTTTCCATTTTCTGCTTTCTTCTTGAGTGAGCGTCGTGATGATCTCTAAAATCACTCAGCCAATCGCGAATAAATCAATGGAATACGAGCTCTTCGTTGAAGATGTCACAGAGTCAGTGATTGCTTCGGTTGCTGTAAGCTCGCCTTCTCTGACTCAGTTGAACTGAACTAATCCGAACAACTGGCTGATGATCGCAATAGCTCGGACAGGCCTTTGTCTTCAGCTCGCCGCCGGCCTGTTCAGTTGTCCCTCCGCTGCCGCGCGATCCGATCCACAGGTGAGGCCGCATAGTCTGCCCTTTCCCACAACGCCCTCTGCAGCATAGAACCACCGCTGCCGCTGCCGCAGATCTCCCCCTCAGTTCCTAGCGCCGTCTTCTTCCAGCTCGACCAACGCAACTCGGCCATAGTACACCACAGCCACCGCCACTGGAAGGGGCCACCTTCACAGGTGCCCCTGGGTAAATAGAGCCTGTTGTCTCTCCGGCATCCGTGCTCCCTACAAACATCCGAACGTTGTTCTTCCATCAGTCAACGGAACCCACGTTCCTTTCCTTACTTCTATTTGTCATCACTGACGTTAGAAACAGGGGACCCAACAGTAGTCTGTCTAGCCCTTACCCTGAGTAGGTCCTGCAGTTCAGTGGGTCGACCGCCGAGGCTGCTGACCACGAAGTGTTGCTATGTTGCCTCCTAGAAAGCCTGTTGTGCTTCTCATCTCCTACTACGACAGTTAGTTATGATGGCTACTACTGCTAGCACCTCTAGGAGTATTAAGTGCGCGCAGTGGTATGCTGTGGAGTCCTTTACGTTCGAACAATAGTACTGTGTCTTCGATGAGGGAGGTTCGTCAATTCAAAGCGTGGGTAACAGTAGAAGCGATGTCGATGCCGGCTAAAGCTAGGAACTGGACTGGTGGAATAGATTCGCCCAACAGATGGATACGGCTAGCCTTTTCCTTCCCGCTGCTGCTACGACCTTTGCAGTTATTGGTTGTTGTATATGTGCTTCCGTATACATAGTTAACTCGTATGTAGTGCGGCGTGGAGGGTCTCTCTCCGATTAGGTGAGGGCAAAAGTCGCATTGGGGTAGCTGGCCAGGTCGACAGGCCTCGGACCCATGAACATTTATCCCTTTCCACAACCGGTAAGATCAGTGGCAATGCAGCTACGGTACACACCAGCAGAACGAGCGCAACTGCCCAGCCAGCCGGTATACCCGTTAGCAAGCCCGAAACGAGAGTGTTGACATAACCAAAACACCTGAAGGATACAGGAGTCTAGTCACTGATGCTGGGTACTGAATCAGAATATTCGGATCGTTTTTAGGCGCGAATAGATTGACCAATGGAAATGTTTTGAGAGTTAACCTACCGCTGTTCGAAACTGCTCTGTTCCCTTCTGATAACGTCAATCCGTTTGCGTAATATGCACTTATTTGGCCTTCTGTTTGCCTTCTGGAATCAATCAGTGATCGCTGTCATGGCTCTTAAACTCAATAGATAAACGGACGAAGCTGACGAAAGCAATTACTGATCATTGAAATAGTAACGGAATTTAGCGCCAACGCATCCAGTTTATTATGAGAGTGGATCGTCACTCAGGTAAAATTTTCTACATCAACCATATGTAATATGCACACGCGCTGATAGTACTATAACTTAGAGTTTATTATCATGTAACGTCCACTGATTGATGATGTTTTCGAGTATGGTATCGAACCATATATAAATTAATTAATAACATCAATAGTAAACAGTTCAACATTAAAGAATATATTATAATTGATAAATATTCTATATACACCAATACGCATGGATAATGCGTGTCGTGTATCCGTGTTAGATACAGTTATTCGCTATATTATCCTGGGTTGGGTTTGATATAATCTATTATTCGACCCGTTCAAATGTTATTAGCTCTATATTAACTCAGAATGATAATGTGAAAATACGTAGATTAACTACAAAAAAAAAAATAGAACATACATAGCTACATTAACCATTTTTTAGGTACATATGTCAGGTCCGTGTACCGATATATCATAAGCAAAATATCTCTACAATGTTTAGACTATAATATTTGGGTAACGATACCGGGATGGCAGCCGTATTCGTTGCCTTGCCAAGCCACAGTTCTTAAGATTTACTAGCTATTTTCTACCAAATTAATTCATTTTTTGTTATCTATGCATTCAAATAATTTCTATTGTCGCCTTATTTCCTAGAATCCCACAAAAAATCAATCATGTTCTTCCAACGTACTCATTCTCCTTTCCCACGTTTGGCGATCAACGTCCCGTGATATCAAATTTAGGGGATCGAAACATAGTAAGCAATCTTTCGTACGTGCTATTTTGCACACGACAGAGGTAACGGGTTAGGAATCAATAATTTTTACGACGTTTCTAAAGTAAATATACAGAAATTTTCTTTAAACTTGACAGCAGTCAGGCCTGCGTACGACGTTTTTCCATTTAACATTTAAATAAAAAAAAAAAAGCCTCCTTCATTCGTCTTAGTAAGTGTAATAATAGGACGGAGAGCATTAAGGCCGCTGCCTTGGCGTTTATACGCTATAACTATATAAACAATTCCCACCTGAAAACAGCGAACGTGATCAGGGGCAAATTCAAAGTGGATATTTTCGATTTGAAGACATGCTGGATGTTGTATCTTTGTGGTATATGCGTAAATGTATCTGCATTTTTTTTTATTAGGTTTCGTAACAGCTTACATTTTTAGTGACTAAATAATTCTGTAGTAGTTAATTCTACTATTATAATCTAGTAGCTCGCCTCAGTCACATCGTTTATGCTTTGGCGCAGTCATTCTGTTACCCTGTATGTAATTTATTACGCCCAGCCCGCCAATCCCGCGCAATCTATAATTTGCCTTAGCGCACGTATCCTACTACACGACTTTGAAGGTTACCAATATAAATCTAACACATTTTGCTTTACACGTAAATGTGAAATCAAGCTCCGTTCTCTCTTTTTTTTTTTTTGTTTTTGGAGGTTTTGGAACCCTCTGAGTTTCTATCTGAAATTCTTGCCCTATTGCAGTTTATCATTTCTGCACCCCGTTGAAATATTGCTGTAGTAATATGGCTACGTGCTCCTCCTTTGCCCTCTTCTATTAATCCATTGCTCCACCTTTGTATCGACAAACCTTTTGGATTAGCAAGCATTTTGCTCGAAAGCCACCATGCTTCTTTTTCGCTCGCAAAATTTTCGGAAAAGGCCTGTCTTCTTTTTTCCGAAGCTCTAATGTTGCGCGCATTTTCTACAAAGTTCGAAGAAACAATAACTTTTTAATGTATTTTTTTTTTTCAAAAAAACGCTTTCCGCATGAATTACCTAAAGGAAGTCAAACTAATCTAAATGCGGCAAGCAACTATCAGTTAAAAATAATTTGATTAATCGGAGAAATGTCACACTCAGCGCATCCGAAAATGTTAGGAAACGAAATGTTACTCGCCTAGAAAAAAAATGTGCTTAATATGAGTAATTCAAAGGGAGACGCATACACGTTGACAGAAAGATAAAATCGAAAGATAAACTGAATCAATAGATCCGTAAAGCTGGATAATCACCCGATCATTGTACGGTCATGAAGAATTGCATTGATAAAACTCTGCTAGCCTACCGCGGCAGATAAAATTCAAGTTTTTTTATAACAAATTCTACCGTGGAGTGTGCAAAGTGTAGAAGTTTGTCAATCTGATTGGTTGGAGCTGATCTAAGACTAAGAGCTTCGTACAAGTCCATTTGAAGATATCGTTTAGCAGCTAATTAACATTTAAATAAAAATGTCGTCGGAATGCATCAAAATGTTCTACTCTTTATTGCAAGGTCCATTTTTAATATGATACAGGCCTGTCTGCCTGGTTGTCCGTCGAGGTGCGGGAATTAGCCGATGAGGAAAAAGGTCGGGGCTAAGAACTTCATGAATTTTGAGGACGCTGCTGCAAGCAGTGAACGAGCTCGTCATGACAGTGAACGAGAATGTCAAAGGAGACAGCAGGTTAATCTCCAGCCGATGTGGTCGTTGGTTGACGGAAGCCGGTTTTTTGGCCGATGCGATACCAGGGAACGTTTGCGTCTAAAATTAGTTCTGCTCTAAACTCTCAGTCCCGCTACCACAAAAGTATCTAGACGACGCGCGGTGCTTTGGCCGTAAAGAGTTTAAGGATGGCAAATACTAGCCAATAGGCCACTTGTTACGACGAATGACAGAACTCCAAAAAGAAAATGAATATTTAGTTCCGCTGACATCTAGCCGACCTGTGCTTGCTTGTGTGTGTATGACTTTTTCTGTGAGTAAAGAAATAATGACAGGATATGTTGTGAATATGTTCTGGTCTAGATAGGAGTTGTTTCAATGAAAAACCAATTTAACATGTTCTTCAAATGCTAACAACCTAGAAATTGTCCCACTTATTTATAAAGCTGTTAAATGCTGTCCTGATATTATAGCAGCCATTAAATTTGCGTTCATCGAAACTAATTTGAGACAATGATCATCAAAAGCGTTGTCAAGATGATAAACTAAAATAAACTAACGAGATCTGTTCGTAACTTTTATTATTTATATGTATATATTATGAATTTAACCGAAACGATATCAGTTTATTAGGAAAGTTCATGTTTGTCCATAGCCTGACTTGATAGAATTTGCTGTCTTTCACTGCTTGAGTACCATTTGTCTGACCAAACCACTCGCATGCCTGAAGCTTAAGTCCTATGCACCGAGCCATTGATGCTTTCCTTGAAGGTCACAAGAGATGACGTAGAATAAAACACTCATAGTCACGTCCCATATTAAGCGGATCCATATGATAAGTAGATTCTTTTCGACGGTGCGATGAGCCTAAGGATAAGCTCTATGTATGCAATATGGGGAGTTACAATATAGACCCGTAAAATATGTTACTTCAAAAACTAGTCCGACCGTTGCTAAGCGCTATTTCCTGTCATTCAGACGAGCAGCCTCGATTATAGGCTTGAGCCTAGGTATCCTCTTTGTTCAACTCGTTGGACGTTGAAGCTTCAACTTTTGCTAAGACTTCAGTGGCATTCGAGTTACGCGCTTCATAGTACTCAAATACCATACTGAGTGCTTGCTATTTTTCCTTTTCACCAACACCGGTAAGTACCTCAAAGTGATTGGTCGAATAGCTTTTCAAGGCGGAAAAGATTTTCTCCAAATAAATTTACGGGAAAAGTCCATTAAGGTAAGCGATAAGATTCAGTCTCTCTATTAGGCTGACGTTAAGAGCATGTAACTGTGTCAATCTGGCTTGCTTGCTCCCTTGTCAGGTGAACTGTTCAAGTGAGTCTGCTTCTGTGATTGCAACAGGCACATGTAGACATTGAGTTGTGTATTGTGCTATCCTACAGTACCTAATCAGAAGAGTCAGAGTGGGCAATATTAGGAGACTAAAGACCACATCGTCACGTTCTGTTCTAGGCCGCCCAACACGAACTTGGTCTGTTGGCCTACTAAATTTGTAATGGTCTGAGTTCGAACTCGAGGCGGGGCAACTTCATTCCGTACTAGGAGCCAGTCGTATGATGGAACGCCTAATGGCGGCACAGCACATAAAACGTGAAATGCTTAGTCTGTAATTGAAAAGATAGTGAGCTAAAGAGGGAACGATACCGTGTCTTCTATGTGTTTGTAGGCACCTGCTGAAATACCAGTTGTTCTAAAAATAGCATGGAGTCTTCGAATTTGGGGCCTTAAAAACATTAACTAAAAATGAACCAGTTGCCTATTTATGGACTCAGCTCTACCAAGCGGTATCGCATTGTCCTGATAGCTATTCAATCCCGGGAAGCTTCTTGAAAGGTAGCACATTCATACTATATTTAGGTCAAGAAGGCTTCTCATACCCAAGGTTGTTTCTTAGTAGTTCCTCGTTTTAACGTCAAATCAGCTTATACTGTTTGATATGCCAAACTATTTGGAATCTCTATTTTTGAGGCTATAAAAAATGTGTCTGGCCCCTCGTTTGAGAACCAAAAGCTTACCTATCCTGATAACAACAAATAAGTATATGTTAGGGAACAAGAATAAACACGATCATTTGTGTATACGAAGAGTTTTTGTAGCTGAATTTATCTGTTAATGGTCGTCCGAACCCCTAGTTCTTCGAGGAAATGAACTGTACGTGACAATAGAAGAAAAAAAATAATATTAAGCAGTGTAATTTATGACATCCGGCACAATCGTCATAATGAAACATTTGAATAGACTAGAGAGCTGTAAACTTTCTTTGATCGAGAAAATTAAGAGGGAAATTTGTATAAATTAAAATAGCTGACTCGCAGCTTTTAAAACATGTACTAATACTATTGTAAATATATTTTGTCTAAATCGATTTGCTTTTTTGGATATTGACAGAAACATATCTTCGTACTTAGCTAACGAAAATTCATCACTTCGTCTTAGAACTAGCTATAAAATTAAAAGCATACTTAGTTCTATAACGATGGTTAAATTGAAACATCTAAAATTGTCGTTATGGAACAGTACGTATAGACGGCGAGTGAGAACCGACGTTTATGCAGGACCGAAAATTAGATGATACACACGAATATCCTTATTCGTAATTTCTAGCAATTTTTCAGTATATGCAGTAGAGTTTCAAAAATAATACTAACAGAAAATAATCTCATTTTGTAATCAGTATTCGATTTTTTTTAAGCGATAGCATTTGTACCCTTATTTTGCTTCCATACTCCATCTCTCAAAATGAATGACTCCTTCCTGGTACTATTCATCCCCTTTTTTTTTTTTTTTTTTTGTTCATTTTTGTTTGCCGCTCATACGTCAATATGTTTGAGATTAATTTTTCATACATTATAGCAGATGGCAGACAAAAAAAAAACTGCCCTAGACACAAGGGAAAAGCCGGCCGAGCGTTTAAAGCGGAATTTCGTTCGGCTTTATACAAACATACCTCACAGGTACGCTTAAGACACATCCTATAGTGTACGCCAAAAGTCGCACCTGCAGGCACGTTTTAAGCGGACGTAATTGAAGAACTTTTAGCGAATAACAGGAAACCAAATAAAGCACATTTTATAAAACCCATTACATTATTGTTCAGCTAAGGACAAATGACATATGTGAAATTAAATTTAACTTATAGCAATTTTGAAACGAATCCAGGCCGCAGTAAACTCTGTGAGGTTATTCTCGCATCTATATAGAATAAGCTATATTTAACGAAGCGACTAATAGCAGTGAAGTAATGTCTAAAAAGCCACAAGCTCAAACAATCTATCTCTTCTTTCTTCACTCTTCGTTAACGTCATGGCAAATGGTTTTGCATATTGAATCCGTCTCCACTTTACCCTGCTGAACAGTATTATTTTACTATAAAACATAAAAAGTGCAGATACCATCGTTATGTGGGGCAACTCTATACAATATGCTTAGCTTAAACAAAGCCCACATACACAATCTGACATGTTTGCTAATCCTAATGGCTTTATTACTGTCTCCAGCGCATCTGGCTGAATAAGACTGGGTTTAAATGCAAAAGTTCACCTGCCCCATGATCTTTACACTCCATTGCCCTTTCTGTCACATTGGTGCCGGATGAACGTTCCTCTCTTACAAGCTTTTTTAACTCCCCACTCGCCTGTGATGTAGAAATCATTATCAGCGACTTTGCCGACGTTAAATTGAACCGGATTTCTAAGAAAAAAAGACTCTGTTTACTTTTTTTTTCAAGCTTCATAACTTCCTACCGGCACTAGTAGGTATAGAACGGCCGCTTGTGCGATGCAAGGACGGTCTTCTGTATGTCGCATCATGCCTACGTGCAGTTTGTACCTTGTTTTAGAATGTCGTGCCCCTTTAAGCTTAACAAATATTTCCTGAACAACAACATGCACTTTTGAGTCAGCGTCAGCGTAGGCGAAAGAGCCTACTAACTGGTATTGACAGACGTATGTCGCTTGAAATCGGTGTTCGATCTGGGTGGCACATATATATATGGACGATTACCATTGACAGCGTAGAATATAACGGAACGTGAAGAACGACTGCAATGAAAAGTTAGTGGCTTTTTTATGATCTTAACAGATAGCGAACCCTATCATGTACTCGGTCCTCTTTGAATCACGTAAAATAAAATACATAGAACAATTTTTTTTTTTTTATAATTGTGATTATGTAAACAAAATTATAAGAGGACTGGCTTATTAGCTAAACGAGATACTCTAGTGCGTGCAATTGGCGAGTAAAAAAGCTAGAGTATATATTACCAAACTGTTATAGCTAAGAGTCAGTTTTATAGAAGCAGAGTTTCCCACTACGATTGCCCTGTAGCTGTATGTCGTGTATAGCAAACTTCATTCGATTTTTCCTTATCCCGACGATTGCTGTCCACTTCCGGTCTGTGCAGCTTGTCACCTGCCAACCTATTTACCACCACCTTGAAAACACAGAGCCTCTAACTTCTACGAGTGAGAAGAAGGATTCGGAAATAAGCGGAAGGGTCATCAGCAACCAGCCACACCTTGACTATTTCTTTGTCCTGCCCTTAAAGGGCCCAGCTGGAAGAACGTCCCGGTACTGCACTTCGTCTGTGTCTGATGGGTGGTCCCCTGCTGATGCTGCTATTATCCAGCAACTTCCGGTTGATTTTGCTATCCTTGTCACTTGGTTCAGTTAGAATCAGTTCACTACGTAGAGCCTCTTCACATTCTTCACCTATACAAAAGCCTTTACCTTCTTCACCAGAAAAGTGCATGTACTATTACGTTTTATTGGTTGACACTGCTATTCGTTTCCTTTTCGCTTTCTTACAGAGTCATTATTGCTTGTGGCGTCAATGTAAGCTTGACATAGCGGTACATTGTGTTGCCAGTTCGTTGTCGTAGCACGAAACCTTTGTTTGCGACGTCAGCATGGCTTCGCGTTGGCCGCGAGCAGTATGGGAAACCGTTTGTATCCAGCTCTTATTGCAGTGAAATAGACCTCACTCGAGTTTCTGGTGCAACTTAACAGAGCCCTGTCTTGTTTAGTCATCCGTTGCAGTGTCTGCACGGGCAAAATTCTTTCGCCAAGAGAGAAAGAAGGATAAACAAGAAGAAAACAAGCAAGGGAAAGAGACCAAAAAAACTTAGGACTTCTTTCTCCGTAATTTCCGAAGCAGCACTTCAGGTGGCAGCGGCGGTAGTACTTCGTCAGACCTAACGAGAACAGACGAGTCGAAAAAATCGCGTGCGTCGATGACCGCTTGTTTGTGTCGCCATAGTCGCCTCCGCCTATGATTAATGGGCAGTGTACAATGTCGACAAAGGAACTGCTGAGAATGAAAAAAATAACGGACTAAGTTATCGAACAAAGCTGTTGCGTTTGTTGATTATCGAAGCTGTTACTCACTAAACCAAAGACCCATCATGGTGGTCTGAATCAGACGAAGGAGAGCTGGTCGGTGCGTTGAGGACACAACAACATTTATAGCAAGATAAGCAATATTACCATTTACGCCTTATTAGTTCCTACGTTGCACCGACATATCCTGGCGTACACTAGAGCTGCCAATTGTCACAGAAAAAAACAAGTCAATATATATCGGATACTGAACCGTCCAGTAGTAATAATATAAACATATTAAAAAAAATCGCAAGTAGAGGATCATATTCACTTACTTAATACATGCTGAAGGTCACATCGCCCACCACTATAGTACGGAATTGAGGAAAACAGGCAGATCTTGATGACTTGAGATCTTGGTCAGTTCCGCAGTTTTCGTTGCTTTAGGCTCAAATGATTATTTCCGCCAACGTAGTTCTAGTCTTTAGGGCCTTTTCGTTTTTGAATTTTGGCGCGGTCGCTAGGTTTTCCCTGGGCCTTGTCAGAGTCGTTTCTTTGGCTGTCCCCCAAAATTTCCTTGATAGCTACACCTAACCACTTCCGCGAACCTTGCGTGCCTATCACCATCCGTTTCTCCTTTTTTGCGATGAGAACTTCCTCAGAAAGTATTTTGTTCGCCTCTGTTTTTTCCATTGCATACAATGATGCCCTCGTCGAGCCGCAAAGCATTCTTTTTCTAACTCTGGCCTTTTCTTTCACTCTCTTTTTTCGGTATTGGCGTCGTATACGAGAGCGCTCATTCTTCTTGCCGGCATCGTTTGCTTCAGCAGATACCTCAAACCAACCCACTCGTCGCCGGAACTAGAAAACTAGTTTTTCCCTTCTTAGTACCGAGAACGAGCGTACGCCCAATTAGTAGACAGCAGTCAGCTGACAACGTCCCACCAAGCCCCACTACTAGCTGTATCTGCAACAGGCATACAACAGTGGCAAAATCAGTAGTAACTTAGGGAGGAGGTTACCACAAGTTTTAGGGCATTTCAGGACATTCGAGGGTACCAGCTTCAGGCACAGATGGCCGCGAAGAAACTCGGCATCGAAAATTGCAAAAAAAGACTGCTGATGTAAGCTCCTGTAGATAACAAGCTGCCGGACTAGTGAAATAGCTGTCGCGCCTCGCGTTGTTGGTGTTTAGCTCTGCCCTTTCTTGACACCCCCCCCCCGCTCTCACCACCCTCCTGCGTACCAGCTTCATCAAAGAGGAAATGGAAGATGTAGCAACAATAGTAACAGTAGCAATAACGCATAGAGTTAGAACCTAGCATGCTTCTAGGGCTAAGAAGAAATTATGTTGTATCTTATCTTACCTTACTATGTCTTGAAACTGAACTGCATATCCCCACCAACTGTCGCCCACCCTCCTACGTTTTCTTCCTTCACAACAGGTAGTTGTTGTCAATGGCTTGTCCTGTTTTCGCTGTTATGGTGCTGTACCTAAAACGATACCAGCCAATGTCGTAAGGGGTAAAAGAGACGGCCCGCAAACTCAATCGAAGTGAAGCTAAGGAAAATGCAAACAAGAAAGAACAACGTATTGACACTCAGATGACGATTTAGTACGTATACCAAAAGATATTTTACACGCGTTGTTGCGGTGGTCGCCGTCTACTAGCTGAAACGAGAAGTTCTACTGAAGAGATTTGAATGTCTTACGATTAATACTTGATAAAGGCCTCTACACCAGTCAATATCGATTCCAAGCTTTTTTTCAGCGAACTCTCGTACTTTTCTTTTACATAAACTACAGCGAAGTAATTAATAATCGAATAACTGTATTGCTTCTTCTACTCTACTTCCTTCACCTACAAAAATTTCTGTTTCTAGTAAAAATTTGTCTAGCTTCGTACAAGCTTTTCAAACTCATTTTATATATGCTTCTGCATACTGTAGCTTTATAGGTTGTTCTTACGGTAACCTCTCGCCCTATATAACAGCCCCTCTTGATAACGTATCGCACTAAGTTGATCCATATCTAATTCTAGCCCAAAATGCCCACTCGGTGTAAAATCTATGAATAATTCTACAATTTTCAAATTGATTGTGGTAGTTAAGAACGCTGTTTGGATCATGTTTGGCCTGCCTAAAGCATCTATAATAACTAAAAGAAGAACTTCCAGGATAGCTGAGGAGTCCATCATTAAGAGAAAATTGTCAAATGACCACTATCATATTATCTATTCTGATATTTGATTGCAGCTTGTACATATTAATTTTTGTTACTATTTCGCCCATGTATTTCGCTAGGATATAGATTGAGTAATGATCTTTTCGCTCTAGAACAAAAAAATTATATAACATCCTAATATTGTATTGTTACTTGCGGTGCTCAAATGCGTGAGCAAAAAATGAAGGTCTATGGAGAAGCAGATGAAATAATGGCAAGCAGGTGATGTTGAACCGGGCCAGACATAGATAAACGGAAGTATTCTCCACAGTAAAAAGGTTTCTTGTAAAATAAATCAGGCGAAGTAAGGCCTAGCTTCGAAAAGGTTAATATAAAGTAAGGCTCAATCGAATAATTGAATACATACACATACAATGTAACAGTGGAAAATAGTTGTTGAAACACGAAAAACACAAATACGTGCGTGCTACGCAGGATGTACTGAGTTTGTCTCATTATCAAACAGTCAATTGATCTACCTGTTCACTATATATATATTGCCGAATTTGCAAGTCGAACGATTTATTCTGTCTATTGATTAAACGAGATGAAAATTTAGCCGGTTTAAACTATATCATCGAATTTTTTTTCATTTCATTTTTTTGAAATCAATTTATTTTAGAAGCTGGTGGATATTTTTGTTTGATGGTACCATATTGAGAAGTACACTCAAAGCACCGTAGCGTAAAACTGTTGAGAGTCGATAAGTTTTCCTTACCTAATTAAAATATAAATAAACCCGTTAAATAACGGTGTTAGTCTGCCCTGTCCTTGGCTAGATCCTAGGGACCAATTTCAAATACATTACGAATAGGTTGTGGGATAAAACTCACGCTACTCCAATCTACGTGGTGAGCTGAAAATCAATAGAGCTTTGTTCCAAACTAATTATTTTAAAAATTTGTAGGTTTTAGCTGAAAGACGATTTAGAGGGTTCGGCGCCCTATCTAACGAACTACCGAGGCAGCTATTTGAACACGATCGAAATTTACGAAGTATTCATCAAGATGCAATACTAAAAAAGGATTTTAAAAAATTATAATGTTGCATTAGATTTTTAAACACATTTCCTAATGAAAAGTACTGCCCATAATATCATGCAGTAGTATATTGCCGCCTATTAGTGATGCTCATGTTAGAGTGTTATACGCTACAAATTCCAATATATTTCTGTGTAAACATGCGGAATATTTTAACATGTTAAGCAGATACGCACGCCATCCATATTCATGAGCCAGCTGCGTGAAAAGGTGGTAAACATAATCTTGGGTCGCATCCACTACAATTATTTCGGTATGGGTATAGCTATAACTGGCCGGGTTAAATGTCGTTTCGTCGGTAATGACTGAAAAATACAAAGCGAGAACGCTTATTATGACTGCTTTCCTTAACGTCAGTTGTCTTCTAGAACTCGGCAATTATTCAGGTACGTTAGCATGAGTTCTCCGAGCAAAGAGCCATACAGCCTTTCTCCCCCCCCCCCCCGACGAGCCGGAGAAGAGCCCAAGATAGTGATGCCTCGTTAGTGATGACGATGATGAAGTATCTGTCGTGATTCGGACAGGCACTCGTGATACTGCGATTTGCCATCCCCCCACCGCTCCCGCTTGAGCCACTATGGACACTGGATGCAAATGATGTACAAAATATGCCATTGCTTCCGAAGGGAGGAAGCAAGTTACCTTAGATATTCAGCCGCTGGGTCATCTTTCTAGTCGTCGTCACGATGTAAATGGCCTAGGAAAAAACCTAGCATGCCAACCTCAACCTAAGTGTACCGTTAGGATGGCCTTTGAGATTGCTGCATAAATTCGAACTGTTGATATAGAACAAGTCGCGCCTGTTGCAGAACGCCAATAACATGGATGTATTGGGTTAGTTAATAAGTAACTTAGTTAACAAGGACGAAAAACTCCTTAAAGGCAGGTGTTTCAAATCGACCAGGAGTACATTTCCCACACGTTCTGTGCTGTGTATTTCGCTCAGGCCAAGACGCTGCCGAAACAGCTCGGAACATTTGTCTTGTGAAGTACAGCGGCACTATCGTAGAAAGGGTTGTTTGCCAAGTCGGAAAGCAGTATCCGAGAATTAGTTATTTTAATGACGACCATTTGAAAGCGCTATTGATAAATGACGTTTAACAAACAATTTCAAGGAAGTTCGTCAAAGAACCGGTTGTAGCCACAAGATCGTCATTAATCAGATCAACTATTTTGGTTTTACGTAGGAGCTGAGAACTCTCTGAACCTAACAAGAAATCGTGACCTATGGTTACGTTTCACCATATCGTCCGGGATCGAACGTCTCCCGGTCATAGTGACCAACTTTTGCACGAAATTGTCACGGGTAATAAAAAGTAGCGTCTATACGTCAACATGGAAAATGTATACAGTGTTGAACAGGTCATAACTGTCTGATTGTTGTTTCTTGTTTAAAATAAATAAATTTAAAATAATAATGGAATATTAACTTTTACATTAATAATGTTTGTTTTGAAATGCAAAAAAAAAGATTATATCTCGATTTAAAAAAAGCAATCGAATCGTTCAGGGTGCTTATAGCCAATGTGTCCGAAAACAAGAGACCTCAACGAACTTTGCCCGCTAAAGCACTACTGAAAAATTATAGCAGCAGCAAATCAAGCGTCGCATTTTATAGGACTACAAATGAAAAAGGTGCATTGCGGTGATGATGATCCGAACCTCCCAAAAAACGACTCGTATTTGAAGAAATGTAGACATCTTTCGGAAACGATTGTTTGAAGCGCTGAAGTTACAGCCGAATTAAGTGGTACCACTAGCTAATATAATTGCACTAACCGGGCAATTGTTAATTCATGCTATGTTATGCAAGAGCATTGAGCTTATTAGAAGTGGAAAACTACAGTGTAGCTGGGCATCCATTTCAAAAAATTATTTTTTTTTTCAAAGCAAAAAAATGTTTTTGCTTTGACAGTGACGGGTGTTAAATACTTGATAAAAGAATCTATTCTGGCATTTGTTTTACCACGCATTCGAGAGGACTTAGGCAACAATTGCAAATATAATCTCCAACAGGACAGAACGCCTATTCGTTATTATCGTGATGAAAGAGCGTGTATCGACGAAGACCTACCAAATAGATGTGCTGAAGGCTGAGGTTTCATAGAACACCCTGCCGTTTCTCAGAGCTGATACCGTTCTTGTTCTGAGAACGTTCTTGTGGAGATACTTTAAAGTAAAAATTTACACTAGATAACCCAATGACACAGGGGAATTTTAAAGCCGCAATTAAGCACGAATGTCTAGTGAAACGAAATAAAACAACATTTCGAAGCAGAGCATTGGCGAGAATGATAATAGCTTTAAGTATCTGCGCTAATTAAAAACTAAATCTGCGATCGATAATTCTTAAATTATTTTATAATAGTCTAGACATTAATTATATGTAATTAAGAACTTATAATCATTCAAAGCATGTATCGATAATAATGGAATGTTTCACCCAACAAAAACAGCGTTTTACTCGAATTTTAACAACGGCGAATCACTAGATCCCGCCAGAAGTGTTTGAGACCTAATTTTTTGAGATATTCACTATCAAATGTATTGCTACGAGGTGAATTCGCCGCTATTGGAAAGAGGTAAAATTAGTGCAAACAACGATCCATTAGAGCTCGGTCACAGTAGCCTCAACGATGCACGCCATATGTTATCTGGTAT